AATAACAATCACAATTTGTGATTGATAACATCTCACACTGTAATGCATGCAGACAGATGTGAGTAAAACGGAGTTCCATGAAACAACAATATTCATTCTGTAAAACACTAAAGACAGAATGTGTCATGGAACGAGCCGTCACATTACATAGATAAAGCGAATAAATGAGCAGGGTGTTGACCACGCGGCCGCAGTGCAAAATGTCCTGCATTGTCATACCATTATGCAAAGCAGTCTAAGATGCGATAACCCTGGTCGAGTGTGCTCTGAAGTTGACAGGTGGCTCTAAATCTGATGCTCTGTAGGCTTCCGAAATGACCTCACACAGCCAGTGTGACAAGCGCTGGGTGGATAACGGGCGACCTGCAGATGCATCTCTATAATGCACAAACAAATGTTGACGCATTGCAGCTGTGCATGCTATGTAATATGTCAACGCCTGCACCGGACAGAGAAGATGAAAAGACGCTACTTCTTCTGATCTGTTGGGGGGGGGACCCCTCCAACGATATTGCTCTTGATTTAATAGAGCTCGTGATGTTTTTAGGCATAAAAGCTGGGTTTGGTCTTAAATCAGCTGAGCTGCAGTCAGCCTGAATTCTAAGACATGACGGAGCGACAGAGAAGGCAGATAAATCACTCACTCTCTTAGCGGATGTTAAAGCCAGCAGCAGGGCTGTTTAAAGAGACAAGAATTTAAATGGAACCTGATCCAGAGGCTCAAATGGAACTTTGATCAGGACAGGCAGGACCAGTGTTAAATCCCACTGTGGAAAAAGTGGGTGTGAAACAGGCCTGCGTCTCTGTACACCTTTTAGAAACTGCTTCATCAGCGGATGATTAAAAACTGTTCTGTCTCCGAACCCTTCGTGGCAGGAAGAGATGGCTGCAGCGTACGTTTTAATCATGCTGGATGCCAAATTTCTGTCCATCAGCTGTTGTAGAAAGGACAGCATGCCACCTAATGGACACGAGTGGCCTCTACACCCTTCGCTGTACACCAGCGCTGAAAAGCTGTCCGCTTTGATGTGTGCAGCGCTGTGGTAGATGTAGCACGTGAAACCTGAATTGTGCGCACTACATCCTGTGGGAGACCCATCCTCTCTAAGCGGATCCGTTCAGCGGCCAGACCCACAGGTGCTGGCCTATTTCTGGGTAACTCCTGGTCGCTCCTCCTGCCTGGAGGAGAGCGACCTCCCTCCACGGCAGTTTCCACAGGCACCCCGACAGCAGGCGTTGCAGGACTGGGAACCATGGTGCGCTCATGCGTTCGGGGGCCACCAAGAAAGCTGTCAATCTCTCCTCGTGAACTCTGTTCAGGAACCGTAAAATCAGAGGAGGTGGAGGAAAACACGTACACAAGCATTTTGGGCCATGGAATGTGGGCAAACGCATCCACCCCCAGCGGTGGTTCGTCTCCCGGGCTCAGAGAAAACCATAATTGACACTGAGCGTTTTCTCGTGTCGCAAACAGGCCCACAGCTGCTATTTCAATCTGAGTCAAAATAATCAGTCAGAGGATGATTAAAGGTTGTTCTGTCTCCGACAACTTTGAGACAAGAAAACATGGCTGCAACATGCGATAATCGTGCTGAACGCCAGATTTCTGTCCATCAGCTGCTGCAGAAAGGACGGCACACCACCTAGTGAACATGAAATGGCCTCTACACCTTTCTCTGTACAGCAGCGCTGAAAATCTGGCCACTTAATGTGAACAGCGCTGTGGTGGTTGCAGCACGTGAATCCTGAATCGTACGCACTACATCTTGAGAGAGATCCATCCTCTCAAAAGGATCCGCACAGCGGCCAGACCACAGGTGCTGGCCTATTCTGATTAACTCCTGATCGCTCCTCCCGCTTGGAGGAGAGCGTCCTCCCTCCACAGCAGGTTCCACGAGCGCCCTGATAACAAGTGTCGTAAGCCTGGGAACGATGATGCGTTCACGCATTTGGGACAGAAGAGCTGTCAGTCCCTCCTCCTGAGCTCGGTTCAGAAAACCGTGATATCAGAGGGAGAGAGGGAGGTGAAGAAGCATTACGACCACAGGCTGTGAGCAGGCACGTCCACCCCTAGTGGTGGATTGTCCCGTGGCTCCATGATAATTAATAGTTCACATTGAGCGTTCTCTCGTGTTGCAACACGTCCACAGCCACTCGCAGGATTTCTGCCGTGTCTGAGCCATAGCTCTGGGTGGAAGGTCCCAGGTCCCTGTGCCGCAAAGGACCGTCTTTGGACATCACATCCGTCCCCTGTTCAGAATATATGAGATGTACCCTACTCCAATGGAGAGCAGATTGGGTGTGCCCCACACAGCATCTGTCTCACAATGTGGCACATGGGTTGAGTGCATACATCTCCTGCCAGTTATGTATGCAACAGTCACTTGCTGTCTGTGTGATTCAAAAACCCTGATGACTCTGCAGTTCAAGGTCAGTGTTGAGTCACATTCAAAGAATCCGTGCGACATTCCAAAAACATTTAAATAAGCTGCTGTGTGGAGAACCACAGCGCCCCCACAGCTCGTTAAATGTGTGTGCCTTTGTGAAGTCTGACATGTGTGACGTAGGTCTGCTGATGGAAACAGCCAATATCACTCAACCGGTTCACGTGAGTTTCACTGCTGCCACCTGTCTGTACAAACTGCTCAGCAGCAGCAGGTGTCCAGATAAAGCAGACTCCTCCTCCCTGCTCTGTGCAGCGGCTGCAGAGTGGCCCGGGCACATTAATGGAATGTTGTTTCTCACAGTTCAAAATTGACAAATCTAGAATAAATCTCATCTCTCCGGTTCGTTGGGACCAGGGAGTGACGAGAGAGGAACCCTGCGTTTTCTTCTCCTTCTGAGACTCTGGAATTACATTTAAATCAGAATTTCCTGAGCTTCTGCGAGAGGGGACGAGATATGTTCTAGAAATTACAGAAAACGTCATTAGAGTTCCTCCGCACCAGGTTTGAGCTGTACTGCAGCGTGAATCCCCGGATGAAAACGGTTCGCCTATCCGTCTGGAGCGTGCACTCATTGCCACTCATTATAAAGTTATCAAGCGGGCACGCGTTGATGCTGTGAACTCACATGCATGCTGATGTGAGCTGGTGCGCGCTGAAGGAGAAAGAAAAAACGCGTGCCCCGGAGCATGCAAATCGTTGTGCGTTTGCTGATGCTATGGGACGCAGCTCATGTGTTGTGCTCATGTTGTGTGCAGCTGCTCCGTGTAAACGCTCGTGGAGAGGGTGCACGTATGAACCGACGTGCCCTGAAGAGTCGTGTGTGCGCGCCCTCATTCATGCGACGCCTTAAGCGAAGATTTCCGCGGGAGCGCGCGTTTGACGCTGGTGCGGTCAGGAAGCAGCGCGTGGCATCAGTGGGGCGAGGTTACCACTGGGCTCAGTCTGCAGAAACACGTTCATTCTTGGCTGCGAATCGCGTGAGCTTTTGAGTGATTCCACGAGCTGCAGTATTAATTCAGAAAACGTTCTTCGAAGATGAAGGAGCGGAGCCGCTGTGAGGCTTGTGAAACTGTTGACGCCACGGGAGCGTGCGTTTGACACCACTGCGATGAAAACGCGTGTCGCTCCTGCCGAGAGCGCGATACGTTACTGGGCTCGTACCGCAGTCTCACGTTAAACGTTGACGTGAACGGCGGGCGCTGAGAGCTGCGTGCGCGCTTTCATAATGCAGCGCCTTATATGTGAAGGCTGCTCGTGCCGCTAGAGCGCATGCTGGCATCGCTGGCAGTGAATGAAACAACCTTAAAAGGCTCATTCGTGATGAGTGTGTGTGATGGGGCCGCTTGTCAGATCATCCGTGCTGACAGCCTGGCTAAAAGACACTTCATCATAAAATGATGTTTATTTCACATCGTGTCATCAACACACCTCCAGCAAACAGACACCTGGTCCTTGAGCTCTGTTTGTTGTCCTAGAGGGCCCCCTGTTGGCGGAGTCCAGGAAAAATTGAACTTCCGGATGCCGAGGACGTCTGACGGGAGGGGCTGGCGTCGCAGAGCTGGGGAGGCATTGTGCAGCCGTGGAGCATCTTGAAATGATCTCTCGCTGATGAAAAGGCCCTCAAACAAAAGCTTCTGCAGCTCTCCTGAGAGGAGGGTGGAGTGATGAGCCAGGAGAACCTCTGGGACCTCGTTCTCCGGCTGCGATGCGGGGCGGCAGACAGCAAAAGAGGTGCACTGGTTGGGGATGACGTCAGCTGTCCTGCAGACGGAGCGTACTGCAGAGGCTGACAGCGCCGTTAGCGAACAGCCGCTACGAGAGAGGAGCGAGCCGAAGGTCAGAGGGCCCACCGTCTCTTCCCGCCTCTGAATGTGTACGCCAACAGCGTAACGTGTTGTTCGCTGCGGCTGTCTGGAATGCATGCTGGTGAGCTCAGTTGGAGAGCGGCGTCACCATCTGGGTTACGCTAACCGGAGGCACGGGACGCTGGTCCACCTGGACATCTTGCTCTGATGAAGCCTCCGTCAGGCTCGGCTCCAGGGGGCAATGAGGGACTTTCTGCTCGGTGAACCCCTGCTCTGGAGATGGGTGCGGACTG